AAGTCGGGCGCTTAACCGACTGCGCCACCCAGGCGCCCCTCTGAAATTTTTTTTAATGTTAATTTATTTTTGGGACAGACAGAGAGAGACAGAGAGCGAGCAGGGGAGGGGCAGAGAGGAGACACAGAATCTGAAGCAGGCTGCAGGCTCCGAGCCGTCAGCACAGCTGACAGGGCTCGAGCCCACGAACCCCGAGATCATGACCTGAGCCAAAGTTGGCTGCTCAACCAACTGAGCCACCTAAGCACCCCATCTGAAAGTGTTTTTAAGGTGGTTTATACCCTAAGATGTACTAAACCTTAAGTGTTGAGATCTGACAGTTATAAAATTACTGATGTTTTTTCATATTCACCCTTAGACGACAATGATTTGCATAAGATAAACCCTTTGATTTTAATATTTTCTTTCTGGATAGTTCTGCATCATTTTTATGTGATTTCCTTGACAAACCCACAAAAACTATTTTTCCATCCAGAGTTTTGCATAATCTGAATAAGGAAATCCTGAGGAAGCACTAGGAACTGGGCAATTCAGCAAGATCACAGAAACCATGTGTTGGGAGCTGCTCGTCAGCAAATGCTGCCAGAGATTCTGTAAAGATCAGGACAAATCTCACAGATAAGGGCAAAATAATTGTCTTTGGCAAGATTTTGTATAGGCTGCATATTTCTTTGTGGGGTCACCGCTACTTCTAAAGAACCCAACTCATATTATTTTGGGACACAATTTTCTGTGTGCCTGAATATTTCCTGTCTCCCTGTCCAGAGTTCCCCCAAATATTCCTCTCCCCAACTATCTGCTGCCCTGTTGCATGAGCACTATTGATTACAGGGGACTTTATGGCATTAGACAATGGGAAGCTAGCAAGATACTCTGGTTACCATTGCCGCATAACAAATTACCCTAAAACTTGGCAGCTTAAAACAACTATTTTATTTTGCTCCTACTATTGTGGGCCAGGAATTCTGGAAGGGCTTGGGATGGTGGTTTTCATGGAGCTTCTGTCATCTGAAGGTTCAACTAGACTGCACATCCAAGGTAGCTCACTCACCTTGGGTGGCTGGCAACCCAAGAACTTGTAACTGGCCTCTTCATGTTATCTGCGCTTCCTCACAACATGGCAGCCTCAGAATAGTCAGATTCTTACAAGGCAGTTCAAGGCTCCAAATATGAGTGCTCCAACATAGAAGATGGAAGCTGCATCTTTTTTTTTTTCAGCTTTGGATGTCATGTAGTATAGTTTCCATCACATTCTGTGGGTTATAAGCCCACTCAGATTCAAGAAGAGGGGGCACATACCCTACCTCCTAATGAAAGGAATGGCAGGGTCACATTGCGGAGGAGCACATGGCAGAGGAGATGTTGCTAAGGGCCATATCTGGAAGATGTACTCTCCCACACAGAGTTAGTAAAACCAGATTGTGTGAAGTCACTGGAAAGTGTACCGGCCACCAGACTGTGGAGAGACAAAGAAAGGAGGTAGAAACTGCAGAATGTTTACATTCTTACATTCATAACAGCAAAAAGGAGCCAAGAAAACAATGGGTAAACTTTCAATAAAGGCTTCATTCTGCATTCTACACTCCAGGTTACTTTGCTATGATGCTCTCATAGTAATTCGTTTACCATTTCACAAACTATTATTGGGTGCCCACTACATGTGCCAAGGACTGTTGTAGACTCTTGGTGCATATGAGTAAATCAATGTAACAAAAAGCCGTATGCTCATGGAGAGTGTTTTCTAGTGGAGTCATGATATGAAAATAAAAACTACTGCTTACAAATTAAGTAAGTGGCAATTGGAGGCAAGGCCTCGTGTGGCCTAAAGAGCTAGCTCTACCCTGAAGGATGCCCTGGACTGAAGTTTTGCCAGGTACAACAGACCAAGTGGTGAGGTCTTTGGGAAAGACATTTGTAGGTAAAAGGGTTAATGTATCCTGTGAGTTTAAGAGGACTTCCGGATGCCACTAGCTTCCTGCTTCTCCCAAATCATGCTGTTTCACATCCATCTTGTGACCTTTGTTCTACTTGTTGGCATCACTGTCCAAACACCTAGGAACCCCAACACTTCACCCCACCCTGTAAACACACCCGTTGTCATGTACTTTGGAGTTCCATACAGACACCCTGTATTTCTCATGTGATTTGCTAATAAATTAAGGCAGGTAAGAATGTGCCAGTCCTAAGACCAGACCTAAAGAAGTCTTGCATGTTTTCACTTGTGCTCTTGCCCCGGTGCCACTGCCATGTAGGCATGCTGGGGTTGGCTGGAGGATGAGAGACATGTGAACTAGACAGAGCCCAGTTACACCAATCACCCCAGGCAACAGCCAGCCCACCCCCAGACACATGAACGAGCCCAGCCAAAATCCCAGATGCATGAGCAATGAACTTATTGTTACAGGCTGTAAGAGCTTGTGGTTGCTTGCCATGCAGCATTTTGGGGCAACAGAGGAGGTGATGCAACTGGGAAAAGGCAGAGCTCCCTCTCACGGAGGCCTGCTTACAGTTTTATTTTGAAGTCAGGCGGCACGAATCCCTGCCATTGCTGCCGGGATGTATAAAAGGATAATCAAAGTCAAAGTTAACAGAGTTGCCTCTAGATTCATGACAAGGGGGAAGCGTGGAGAAATGAAGTGGAATAAGGCTTCATTTCTGCCTGTGAAGGTTTTCATTTTATGTCTCCTTGTCTGAAGGAACGAAAGTCACTCCTAAATGCTTCCTACGCCTGAGGGATGAGGAAGAAGCCCCACGGAGAAACTGAACATTCCAGTTGCTTCTTTGATACCTTTAACTCAGCAAGCTCCCTGCCTAAAAGTGGACTTAGCTTTTTTATTGTTATAATTAAAAATAAAACCTGTTGGGGCGCCTGGGTGGCTCAGTGGGTTAAGTAGCCCACTTTGGCTTAGGTCATGATCTTTTGGTTCGGGAGTTCAAGCCTTGAGTCGGGCTCTGTGCTGACAGCTCAGAGCCTGGAGCCTACTTCCGATTCTGTGTCTCCCTCTCTCGCTGCCCCTCCCCTGCTCACGCTCTGTCTCTCAAAAATGAATACACAGTAAAAATTTTTTTTTTTTATAAATAAAAATAAACCTGTTTTGGCAGCGTTTTATAGGATGGATGGAGGCCATACCATCCACTGTGTGGACACGTCAGTCCTGGCAGTAATCCTGGCACACAGAGCTCCTTTTCCAGAATGCATCAAGCAAGGACAGAGGGGCAGGACATTTAATCTCTGCTTCCAGATCATTGTGACAATTAGCACTTTTGAGGAAAAAATTGCCTCCAAACAAAAACTGGCCTTTCAAGTAAGTTGCTCTCCCCACAAAGTGTCGGGAACGTTTCTACCAGTACCAGGAGACACTTATTCTTTTGTGTCCTGCACAGTCCCTATCCGAATGCAAATACCCCTGGGAGAGGAAACCTTTGGCCTTCACTTGTCAACACTTTGGGAAAGGAAGATTTTAAAACAGCTGAGCAAAAGAAAGGCAACTTGTTTGTGTAAGTGCTCATCTTCTTTCTCAGCGGACCACAAGCTCCAAGAGGCCTAGGACCATCTCTACTTTGTTTATCCATCTATTTCCACAGTCCAGGACACATAGGAGACCCTCAATGATGCCTGGTGGAAGGAGAGCAGGAGGGAAGAAACAAAAGGGAGGAAAGGAGGAAAGAGGTACCTAAGAACACGCAGAAAAGGGTGAAAAGGCCTAATTCAAATTCTCCCGCAGCATTTGCCTTTATATTACCTAGTTACTGACGCTTACTATGCATGCATGGGAAGGAGGGGTCTCTAGAGTAGGAGAAAGACAGAACCCCCTCTCTCTTACCTTAGCCTGGTGTGGGTCTTTGCATTTTTACTCCTGTACGCTCCGAGAAAGGCCACGCGACAACCAAGGCCAAAGGGGTTTTCCTATGGGGGCCTTCCACCGATTCCATGCTTGAAACGTGATGGCCCCAGCCTTTGGGATTGAAACATTCAGAATGAGAACTCCAAAGTGACCAAGATGAAGAAACAAGTTTCAGGAGGGCGCTCCGTTTTTTCCTAGTTCCCCCCCTCCCCCAGCTCAGTGGCTTCTCAACCTTTACTGTGCGTGTGAATCACCTGGGCTCCTGCTAAATATGCTGATTTTGATTCAATAGGTTTGGGACGAAGTCTGAGCATTTTTAACACGCTCCCAGGTGGTGCCGATCTGCTGACTCGAGGACCACGCTTTGAGTATACTGGGGACTCGAGGTCTTTCACCTCCACCGCCAGGTGCGTGTGTACGCCCAGCCTCAGCGTTCCGGATCCGTGTCCCGCGCGTCCCTGGCCTTCCGCCGGGAAGGGAGGAGCCGGGGGCGGAGCGGGAGGAGTGGCGCGGGCCCCGCGTGGGTCCTGCCGGAGATCACCTCGGCCCCTTGGAGAGGCGGCCGAGCTGCGGCGGCGCAGGAGGGGGCGGGTTCGGCGAGGGCGCGGCCTCTCGGAGGGGGGCGTACGACGCGCATCCCCCGCGGCCGCCTGGGCCACTCGGGAGCTTCGCGGCAGCCGGGTGCCCCACTTGGCAACCCGCTCCGTGCTTCTTCCTCGCGCCCGCCTCCTCTTGTCACCTCCCGTCTCAGCCTCCTTGCTCCATCCCCGCCGCATCAACCGCCGGCCGAGCGCCTCCGAGAGCCAGAGGTGGTGCGCGGGGCTGCAGGGCGCGCCCTCAGGCGGACCCCGGCCCGGCATTGGGGGGCACGGGCGGCAGCATGGACACCAAGCGCTGCTTCGCCAACCGCTTCGATGACTACCAGGGCAGTCTGCTGGCGGGCCAGTGCGAGGAGGCGGTGGCGCCCTTGGTCACCGCCACCATCGAGCGCATCCTTCAGGAGCTGCCCCCGCTCGGGGGCGGCGCTGAGGCCCGGGGGGCGGCGGCCGCGGCCAGCAGCTGCCAGGGAGGGCTGTACGGCGGCGTGGCCGGGGTGGCCTACATGCTCTACCACGTCTCGCAGAGCCCGCTCTTCGCCGGGGCCCGGGAGCGCTACCTGCGCTCGGCCAAGCGCCTCATAGACGCGTGCGCCCGCGCGGAGGAGTGGGGCGAGCCGGACGCCGACACCCGTGCTGCCTTCCTGCTCGGGGGAGCGGGCGTGTACGCCGTGGCCACGCTCGTGTACCACGCCCTGGGACGGTCCGACTACGTGCAGCCGTTGGGCAAGTTCCGGGCTCTGTGCGCCGTCTGCGCGCCGGTCTCCTTCCTGGAGTGCGGCTCCGACGAGCTGTTCGTGGGCCGGGCGGGCTACCTGTGCGCCGCGCTGGTGCTCAAGCAGAAACTCGCCCAGGAGGTAAGAGGCAGCCCCGGCCGCGGGGGGGCGCTCGCCGCCTGCCCGGCCCTTCCCGGGACTCCTGGCGGCGGGAGCAGCGCTCCCTGGGTCTTCTCTTGGCCACTCTCTTTGGCGCTGTCATTTCCTTAGTCTACATAGGTTCATCTCCGGTGTTTGTCTTCCCTTCTCTCTCCTTCAGTCTCTCATTTGTTGGGATTCCGCGCCTCTGCGCTTTGTTCGTGTTTTGCGCCGAATGTGGTGGCCTCCCCAGGTGCCTCTTTGCGCAACAGCTTTAGGGAGGCCTTTTGAAGTGAGAGAAGAAAAACTCGAAAATGAAAGGGATTTCCCTTTCTTTGACCCTCCTACCAAAAAAGGTGAAGCACCCTCGAACCTTAAGAGGGCTAGCAAAGTACTGGAAGTTTTTGGGGCTGGATATGCTATCATTGTTTCTATCGCTAACGTGGAGGGAAATTGCTTTGGCGACCGACGTCCCCCATTCCCTGCGCCCCGGGTCTGTAATTCAGAATTCCTGCCCAGCTGCGGGTCTCCTGTGCTTACTGTTTGCTTACTATTCAGTTCATCTCAGGGCTCTTTGAAAATGTATATCTGATGGGGCTGTCCTCTTTTAAATACATAAATGCAAACAGAATTCTACCCCATTGTAATAGAATGTGCATTTTTTCATTTTAAAACGCGTAGTTAGGATTGTCAAGACAACAGCATACTTGACAGGGCAGGTTTTCTTAATGAATAGCTTTCCAGTGGCTCCTTGAAGTGAATTGGATCTCACAACTACATATGGGTTGTTTTTTTTTTTTTTCTGGATCCACTTTGAATACAGCATGTAACTATTAGAAAAGAATGTGCCAGTTCCTCTGGTGTAGGGGAAAAAAAAATCCTCCAAAGGATCATAGTAACTAGAACGGAAAGAGGCATTTCATTCATAATCCACTGGAGCCAAATATTGTTTTAGGGAGGAAGTGACACATTTAACTTGACTTTATTTGGGTGAAACAGGCGTTTGAAGAAAAAGGTGCACAGAGTGTTTTAAAAGTGTAATTAGATAACTTCCAAGATAACAGGAAGACTTGATATTTTTTTGTTTATTTATAGCAGGTGAGGTTGATCCAAGTGAGAAAAAAAAATCACTAAAGACTGTGCACTGTGCTAGCAGGGCAGCAAAGATCTGTGTGACAAAGTTGTCTTGAAATAGTTCACTCTGCTTCTGAGTCACTGTATCTGCTAGCAGTTCCCTAAGGGCCCTTCCAATTGTATGAAACCTTTCGGAAGGCCACGGGGCTATTTACATATCATTTGCATTACATTTGCATCTGCTCCTCAGACCTGGCAGTCTGGTGGTAGGCAATTTTCAAATTCGTTTTTTGCTTCTTTCCTTTTCATGCCTTGGGGCCTTCTCTCCAGAATGGAGTGACAGAGTGGGAGAGCCATCAGGTCATACAGGTGGAAACAGACCAACAAGGACTCCTTGCCCCAAAACTGGTGACCCAGGGCCAGTCTGAAACGCTGATCCAAAAAGACATTTATTAAGACCTCTCTTCTGCCTTCCTGCCAAGCCAGATGTATCTTTTTATACTAATCAATTTGAGGTGATTTGGCCCCTGCTCCCAGGAGATAGAACAAGCTCTGAGGGTTAACATACATACACACACACACACACACACACACACGCACACGCACGCGCGCGCACTCTTAACCTGAGCAAGGAAGCCAGTCTCCGTGCCAGCCTCAGCTGCAGTAATCTGAGAAATTCAGGCTTGAAAAGGTGCAGGGCAGGGGCTAAGCATGCCTGGCTTGAAGCCCTTATGAGGGGAAAATAGAAATCTTCTGTCCCATCCCCACTCACATGTCCTAGCCAGCATATGGCTTTGCCCTCAGTAGATGATCCATAAACCTTGATTAAATTGAGTTGCGGGCTTCCGTCATTTCTCTCTGAAGAATCTGTTCTTCTATCCTGGGTTTCCTTCTTTTCAATGTCATTTATATGCACTTTCCTCTGGCAGTTCCCTCAGTTCTCACCCTAGTCTAGATCCTCCCCACACTACTTGGCACAGCCCTGGCACCTAATAAATAGTTGAACAAATGAATCCCCATTTACTAGGATTAGTGCAGTGTACTCTGGGCTGGATTCTCTCAAGAAATTGCATGTACCTCTGAGAAACCAATCTTAAAAGTACTTCATCATGTTATTTCCCCATTCAACATCCTGCGGTGGCTCCCTATTACCTTTTCTCCAGTGGCTTCTCATCTTTTTTTAGAGCTAAGGCACTTAAAATGGCTGACAGGGTCCCACATGATCTGGCCCCCCTGCATACCTCTTCCACTTTTGCTCACTCTGCTTCGACCACACTGGCCTTCTTGCTGTTTCAGGCATTCATTGTCTCGTGATATTTGTACTCGCTGTTCCCTTTGCGTGGAATACTCTTCCCCTAGCTATTTTTATAGCTAGCTCTCTGACCTTGTATAGGTCATTCCCTCATCGGTGAGGCTTTCCCTGTTCACCCTGCTTAAAACTGCAACCTCGTCCCCTGACTTCTGCCCTTTTCTTGTTTCATTTTGTTTATGTTCTTTCCCAATTAGAATATAAGCTCCGTAAGTGTGGAGAGTTTTTGTATTATTGCTATAGTCCCATATTAAGGTGGTGCCTGGTACATATTTAGTTACCTCAACCTTTCTTCTGGTATTATTGCAAATATCGTTTACTCTGTGGCTTGCTTTGCCACTCATTTTTAATGGTGACCCATTTATCAATATTTTCCTTTATGGTGGTGGCTTTTGGTGTTCCATTGATAGGAATCCTTTCCTACCACCAAGGTCTCAGCAAATCTGTGTTGACTGAATAAGTGAATACTGGTCTGTTAGAAATTTTTTTGGCGTAACCTTTAGACCAGTGTTTGTTGAACTTTAATGTTCAGAGGAATCACCTGCAGATCCTGTCAATAAAATACAGACTGATTCAGCAGGCCTGGCATTGGACCTGAGATTCTGCATTTCTACCAGGTCCCAGGTGCTCCTGCTGGTCCAGGGACCACGCTTCGAATAGCAAGGCAGTCCAGTGCTGCATAGGTTTTGGCGTTATACCAGTCATGCCTGCTAAGAGATAGCATAAGATACCTTTCTCTGAAGCTTGATCTATTTTTTTCTAAGGTTGTAGTTGAGAATACTGATTACTGTCTCCTATCATGCTCTTGTTGTAAGGATCCACAAGGGGAATTTCTCTCAGTACTTAGACACAGGAATAGTTGTGCTCTTCCTGGAAATTGATTGAATTTTTTAATCTTCAGAATATGTCACATAACTGACATGTTCCTCGCTTGATGGTGGCTACTGGGAGGCATATGGCAAGAATTGTCCAAATAAGCTTGGGTAAAGTGCCTTATCACATGTACTTTTGTATGCTAGTGTTTACCCGGGGGGTTATAATTTTTTTCTTTCTTAGTTTACTCTTTTCTGAATTTTCTTTCTTACATTTGATTTTATTGTTGGCTTTTATAAGATTCAGAGAGAAGAAAAAAATGTGTGTATATGCATGTAGAGAAAGACAGCAAAAGGAAGTGTCACTCTTACCAGGTAAGATATTTTTGTTCAATTTAGCTCTCCTGGAAATACTCAAGGGAAGTAGCTTTGATGGTTTGTTAGGCAGATATCCTTGAGCGATGGGACACTAAAGTCCTGTGAAATCACACCATAAAAATTTGTACTGGGTCCATTATGCTTTCCAGATTGGTGAAAATGTAGCAGGGAAAGGGAAGTTAGAAAAAAACGGTGGAGGGATAAAGGGAAGGCCTAGGGGCCACAGTTAAAATAATTTTGCCACTGAAGACCTTGGACAAATAATTTGACATCTCTGAGCCTCAATTTCCTTACTTGTAAAATGGATAAATGATAGCTTCCTCATTAACTTATTCTGTCGTTTATTCCTTCATTCCGTGAAAGTCAGGTTTCTACATGTTCCAGGCACCTTGCTGGATGCCAGGAGTTAGTAGTGAACAAAAATCAATATAATTATGTTATCACAAGTGCTCTGAAAGAACTTAACAGAAAATAACTGGGGGCGGGGCAGGAGAGGGGAGGGGTGCTGCTTGTCAGACATTAGCCAGGAAGATTTCTCTGTGGAGGTGATGTCCTGGCTCATCACTGAAGCATGAGAATGAAGTGGCTGCTTTAAGAGCAGGCATTCCACGCAGAGGAGACAGCAAGGACGAAGCCCCCAAGGTGGGAATCCGCTTGGAGATTTCACAGAAATGGAAGGCTGCCAGCATAGTGGGAGCAGAGCGAACAAGGACTAAAGGGATGGGAGAGCTCCAGACCAGGTAGGGGTGGGGAGCACGGTCAAATCAGATCCTGCAGGGCCAGGTCAGTCAGGAGTTAGCACATGCTTCAGGTGTAAATGGTAATGTCTGTATCTTCGTTACCTTTGAAAAAGATCACCCTAGTTTTCTGTATGGATAGTGGATTGAACAGTATTAAGAACAGTCATAAAGGGGACTGGTTACAGGGGTCCAAACCCCTTTTGTGCCAAGGACTCCTTTATAAATCTGGTGAAGCCTTAGCATTTTTAGATGGATAAAATTAACACGTAGGACTACAAAGGAAACCAATTACATTGACATCCAGTTACCAAAACATTTTTAAAATTGTGATGCAGTAGCGTATGTGTTTCTTTATTAGCACATTAAATAACAATATTTTGCAGCAAGCCTAAGGATTGTGGTACCTTTGAAACAGTGATGTGGGTCAACGATGTTTGGAGCTGCCTTCAACAGCTGTGGTGTGACAGGAATATATCTGTGATTTTATAGGTGGCAGAGTCACAAGTACTTTGGTAGTTTGTGGTCTTCATTTGTAACGGAAAAAAAATGCTAAATTGTTTAAATGAGATTTGAGAAAGCCCAGATGTGATTTTATTTCCCCAACCAAAGGGAACTGTTCGGGAAGTTGCTGTGGTGACTCACTTTAGGTAAAGTGCCTAGTGTAGTGCTGGGTGTATAGTAGCTGTTTAA